ACAAACATTATATAAAAATAGAACCTAAAACCACAAATCACAAAGATTGTAACAGCAGACAAATTGAAACACATTAAAACATAGCCATGTTTCATAGCCCTGGAGCCACCAGAACTGGAACCCAAAGAAAACCAATGAATTTAATTGACAAAGGCCAAAAGAAATCAGTGTCTGCCAACAGTAGCTTTCTCTGGAAGGGAACTGCTGTCGTGGCACAACCGAAGAACAGCCTTCACCACAGGTAGCCTCAGTAGGCAGAGGTATTCAGAGATGGGAGTCCAAGAGATCTTACTGTAGGTGTCAGAAGAGTCATATGGGCATAAGTGGTCCTTCAGTAACTGGCCTCAGTTACTCACTGAGGCACTTTACTCCCGTCTTAACAAAAAACAGCATGCCAATCTGGTTTAAAGAAACTCCAGTATTAACGGCCCTTGCTCCCAGGCCAAATTTTCAAAGCCAGGGCAATATAATATTCTTTGCCTACAAACTGCACCACATAAACCATTAAGGTTTTTTTTAGCTTATTTTACACAATAGTCTGTTTTTTCATAATCATATACTGGTTACAAAAGCTTCTCTTCTTGCCGCTTGGATTCTGAGAGTTGATAAGCACTGATTGTATCAATTTAAATTCATTTTTGCAAGCGTAAGGTTCAGCGCTTTACTAGGTAACTAAACAAATGCTGCAGTTCTGGTGGTGAGAACAAGACATTGTATGACACATGTTGAATTTTACACTTTTGCCATCAGAGTAGTTTTGATAACGTAAGTCAGAAATTAGTATAGGTCAGCCAATGAAATAACAGTGAGGGTTTTAAAAAAAATTTTAAATTCCCTTGGGGATTTTTTTGGTTGTATATTATCACCACTAAGGGTGGAGTTTTAAGTGGAAGATTAATATGGGGGGAAAAGGTCTCTGTTTCCTCTTGTGCCACTTTTCCATTCAAAACGGTTTCCTTTCCAAGCTGCTTAGTCTCTCCTCTCAGTTGAAAGAGACCTATAAAGAAGTTGCAGGCAGGAAAAAAGTATGCATGATCAGGGGAATCAATGGGAGGAGGGGTATCAAAAAAGTCAAGATGGCAGTTGTGATCGTGGCCCCATGCAAAAAAGGGACCAGGTTACCAGCCAGTCATACTCATGGCACATGCAGTATTCCCTGCAGGAACAGCAGTGCTATTAAGCTTGGCACATTTGGGCTAGTATTGTACAACTGTAAAAAGAGCCCAGGTTTACCCCAAGGATGCTCACATTATTTTACATAAGCTATGCAATCTAGAGACTCAAAGCTCAAAACATTCTTAAGGACCCATCCCACCCGGGACATTCTTGTTTTTGAACTATTACCATCTGGCAGACGGTACAGGATAATGAAAACAAGGACAAATAGGCTGAAGAATAGCTTTTATCTTAGAGCTGTAACTATACTGAACTCTACTGTATAGTGCAGGGTGGCATTTAATTTCGTTGTACAAGTAGTACAATGACAATAAAGATTACTTTGACTTTGACTACCTTACAAGCCAAAATACTGTTGCCTACATTCCACTGACTAGGGAGGAAATGCAGTGTACTGACACTCAATCAGGATGCAGGTAACGTATCTTGATGAGTAATTTTCCATGACCTTACTTTTTCATGCTGAGGGCCACACTTGGCACATGAGTGGGTGTACCAAGGTGCATTCCATAAAGAGAATGGGACCATGCTCCCCCAAATGAATATAATTTAATTAAATATATTATGTTCTATTTTAAAAATAATTTTGCTGCATTAAATTTTACAACTTTTGGAGGAGCTTTGGAGGCTACCCTTAAGCTGTTCATTTTTGTTGTATTTATATTTATACCCCACCTTTTCTTTCAGGAGTTTGCTGCCCTGCACAGCAGTCCCATCTCCAAGTTTATTCACATGACAACCTTGTGAGGTAGGTGGGGCAGAGGGAGTGGTTGGCTCAAAGTCACCCAGAGAGCTTCTAGAGCTAGGAGTGAACCTGAACCTGACTCACTCTGGCCTGTAGCACAGTTAAAGATTTGAGTGGCTCATATTGTGCACCTGTCTTAAATTATACCACACCCACTCTTAAAGCAGCCCTGATTTGTACAGGTCATTCAGGCTGATTATATATGCATGGACTGTATACAGAAGATGTTAAATACAGAAGTAAAAATGAATTATTAGTTTACAGAGACATACCAATAAATACAGATATTTTTATTTGCTGCAAAACAGGTTATCAGGTTCCATGGATCAAGAGATCCAGTGGAGAAGATGCAAAATATTTACATCCAACCACCAGATATCTCCTTTAACTTAAAACCAGTAATGTGGAAGTCTACTGTAAACTGGTTGAACGTATTGCATGAGGAGATATTGTTCAGGCAAGAGCCCCTTCACCAACCTTTGAGGCAAATAGCATCAGTGTGTGCATAATGTTATTTTGGTTGGGAACTGGAATAGAGCCCAATGCAAATCAGAAGCACATTTCAGAGCAGGACTCCCAAAATGTTTTTTCTTTAAAAAAAAATGCAAAGTTTCTGAACATTTATATGTAACTTAGTGGCGAATTTTTGGGGTGGCAAAGCAATACATAAATATCTACATAAAACTTTTAAATCACTGGCAAAATATATATTTAATCAAATTTCTATGTTTTCTTTTTTTAAGTGTTCAATAAATCACTTTTCAAACTATTATTAGGACTGTAAAAATATCATGCTTTCAATATCGGGAGCTAAGATGGGAAAAAACACAGGAGAGATGGTTGAAAAAAAAATTCTGGATGCTGTGGCCACAATCCCATCTAATTCTTCCTGAGATGCTAAAATACCAGAAGAGATCTCACCTGTTGCTGATCTCACCTTATATTTTCAGAACATAATTTAACTTTTTAAGCAGAGAGGTGTTCATCTCAGAATTTAATTAATATTGTACTTTATTTCACCACTTTTCTGTTTTTTGAGATTTAACCCTCAGTGTTATATGTGGGAAAATGTGTGGGAAACGGGGGCTATTGTCCTTGGTCTCACTCAAAAGAAGGTTTAAATGAATCAAATACTGTTTTTATTCAAGGCAGTAAAGCAATCAGTTAAAATATAAATAACCCCAAGGGCTGTTTCATTATTCATTTCCAATCAGCCTGCCTCACAGACAGAATTTCATGAGAGATCTAGACATAATCTTCCACTTGTAACTCCTTTTCTTCTCAGTACTGTACAGTGGTTCTCTTATTTACCTCTCTTAAAACAAAAGCATTTACGGGGAATAGAATGGCCACACAAAACCTTTTTACTGGTAATATCTGTCAAGAAGCAGATATGTTCCCAGACAAGGCTTTTATCATGCAATTGCCCTGTCTTGTCCACAGAATTTTACAAAGGGATCAAACATGTCCATATTCCATTTGGCAACCCTCTATTTTTTCTCTGCTATTTTTCCCCCTTATACTCTTTTCTTACTAAAAAAGAAAATACTGAGCTGGAAGAGCCACACTGTCTTTTGACTGGTAATACAAGGAGCCTTCTGGAAGCATTCAGGGATAACCCCAGTATTCAGTCTCTTCTTTTCTGAATCTTTACAGCCTCAAGAAGTGATCAGACAAGACTACTGATAACGTAAGAAAAGCATCCACACTCGGATTGACAGTTCCCACCTTTGGCACTAGATGTTGCCCTTTACCTGCCTAGCTGGACAAAGAAGAGGGCAGCTGTTCTTCCTGTTCAAAATCTGTCCCTTCCTATCATCCATTACCACCTCTAATCTGTGGTATTAAAAAACATATTGGGAGCAGGAGGTGGAAGAAAACTAATGACAGGACTTTAAGAACAATGAGCCAGAAAAACTACATTTGTCTTTCATCTCACTTTCATGAGAGATGTAAAGGAAGCAAGTCCAGCTTCTATGGAAAGACAAAGCAATAAAATGGTAGCAATTTGATCTTAACCATTCGTACAGGACTATCTGCAAAAAATGGTTTTCAAGAGTATCTGAGAATGGATCCTAAATTCAGAACTGTTTCAGAAATAAATAAATAAATATACCACACAATCATAAAGCGGCAAAGAGGAAACAACCACTTTGGAATACTTAAGATTTCAGCAGTGGCTTCCAAACTGGTTAGCTAAACTTGAGGTGTTTAGCTGATAGTGGTTACCTCTCAAGTGTTCAGAGAGTTGGCTGATGGACTTCCCTAAGCTGGAGCTCTGAAGAATTATAGTCTACATTTCATTTCACTAGGTATTTGGAGAAACAACATGAGGCATATTAATTTCCTTTGAGAATATCTATACATTAGAAATCACAGTACTATCCGAACAGTCCACTTTCCTTGAATAAGGTGCATGGAACAGATTTTAACTGGCATGTTGCATATGTGTCTGTATGCACATGTAAGACATTGGTTCTGTATGGTCCTGCAGGGTTTGAGTAATCAAGGTTTGATTTCAATAAGAAATCGGGACCCTGATAAACCTTTCAGATTGTAGTTAAGACTGTCCTTGAGAACCCTCAAGCTGATGATCAAACTCTTGAGATTCAACATTTTTATATATACATCAGTTTGGGTAAACTGAAGACACAGACAACATGGGCAAAAAACACAGGGCTATTTGTATTACCATTGTGGCTAAGCTAAAGCATTTCTCTGCAAAAGGATAAGCATCATATGCCTTTATGCTGTTCCCTCAAATGCACAGGATAAAGTGTTAATTTGCAAATTAATTAATTTGCATATCATACATTATTATTCTGACGAAAAGCTTTGTTCTGTCCAGGTAAGCCATGGGAAGTCACTAGCCTTGTTTACAAAATAACTGTGATGCTATGGAGCAAGTACTATGAATTCATTATATGTAGAATAAACAGAAAGAACTTCGAATCCTCGCTCTACAGAAATCAGCAGTAAAATAATCCAATAAGACCTCAAATATCACTCATTTTCTCCCATGCTTCTGTATCTTTTGAGTGACAGAGCTAGAAAACTTCATGGAAAATAACACACATACCCCAGGCCGACGTTCAAAATATGCCAATCTTGATTTTGTTAAGACGAAGAATCGAACTTTAAAGTTGGAGGGGGAGGTCCTTCTCTTTTGCTGAGATTTTTTTATCAGTTCTTCTTCCAGAAGAACACAGTTATTCATTGTCCAGCAAGTAATGATCCAAATTCCAAGATGAAAAGGTACCTGCTCTTACACTCCACACATGAGACCAGGAAAATGAAACTAGGAGACAAAGAGTGGACTGTCTCAAATGTGGATGCAAAAAACAGTGTAGGTGCTTTATCTTTCCATCTGTCATCCAGGCAGTGCTGTTCTCTAGCTTCCTTTGTGATATAAAACCGTAACCACATCCTTTCAAACACACTGCACACTACATTGTAATTTATGTTAAACATGCATGGGAAGGAAAAAGACAATCGAAAGGTAACTCAAAAGGTTGAATGACAACTGCTTGCTGCTCATCTAAAAAATAAATGCTTAGGTGAAAACACTTGGTTGATGGAGCCATATTTTCCTTATGAACCAAAAAATTCAATAAAACTATCTGTTTGCTTTTGTTTTGTTCTACCATTCAGCTTTAGGAAGGATTTGAATGAATTAAGCTTTTTTAATGCTTGATGATTTTTTTTTAACTTGGTTCCAAAATTCAACTGCAGTTCAGATTTTTAATTAGCCCACAGTTATTGATATGCTTGTGTGTGTGGGGGTGTCTATTCATTTCAAAAAGTCTTAGATATGCTTAATTTCTGTGATATTTATGACAGTTATTGTAGAAAATATATACATATTTGATAGACAGACAGACAGATAGATAGATAGATAGATACCATTGAATTTAAGCAATTATTTTCCAGATACAAACAAAACCACCACCAAAATAGATCAACCATCAAAACAGAGAACTAAATAAATGAATGAAATCATTTGACACAGATCATAGTTTTAGACTGATGGTGACTGCACAAAATTATAGTTGCTTATATTTTTTAGGTAGTTTGAATGATTTTCCTATCTATGGGCCCATTCCCTTACCTACTCATTATCTTTTCCATTTACTATGTGCTCATATGGTTTTCTTCCTATTTTGTTCAGTTGTTCAATCAAGAGAATTATGATGGTGTCCACGCTCAGTTTCAGTGGAATTTATGGATTTGCAACTGCTCTGAAATAGTTGTTTCATTGTTTTGGCTTCTACATATTAAGAAAAGCATACAAGGTGTGTGGAAGAATATGGGTTATCCCTGACTGCTTGACTGATGCCTTTACTGGCTGATTAAATCAGCTAGCATGTGACTGATACCATGCATAATGGAGGAAGTCAATATCTCCTTGCAGGAGGGATGTGTTCCCCCTGCTTAATGGAGACAATAATAAGCTTTCTACTGAAGAATCCTCCTTTAACCAAGGAGATCTGCACAATTAGAGGCCAGTTTTAAATATTCTATTCCTGGAAAAAGAAGATGATAGCCTTACAGGTGCAAACTCATCTGAATGATATTGATTTGTTTAACCTATTTGAATCAGGATTTCAGCAAGATACGGTACTGAAGTTGCTAGATGGTATTCAGGGATTATATTTTCTAGAAACTGCCTGGGGGAAACTGCCTTGGTCATTCTCCTGAACCTCTCAGCAGTTTTAGTATCCTTGACCACTGCATTCCTTTGAACTGCCAGTCAGGACTGAGCCTTGGCTGCACTATTTTACAGTAGTCCAGTCCTTCCTTTAGGGCTATGTGATACAGAAGATGACGCTGATGGACTACGACTGACCTACAGTGCCATTGACCTAGTGTCCTGCAGGATTCCATATTGGGCCCGCCTACATGAATCTGTTGGCAAAGGTTGAAATGAAGTGTCAGCATGCTGATGACATCCAGTTCAATTGCTCCTTACCATCCATCTCCAACATAACAATTGATATCCAAAATCTTTGCCAAAGTTCAGTACTGTAATGAGATAGACAAGAGAGAACGGCTGAATTTAAATCCAGAGATGATGGAAGTAAAGAGGAAGCTGGATTGGAGAATTAAAAGTCAGCCTGACTGCACTCCCCTTAGAAGAGGAGGTTTATAGTCTGGAAGTGGTCCTTTATACTCATCTGTCATTGGATTAGTACCTGGAAGCTGTGACAAAAACTGCCTTTACACAATTATGTCTAGTCTACCACTTGTTACTCCTATTAAACTGTTAGATTTTCTGAAGGTATCCAGACCTTGGTTGTATCCCATCTGGACTCCTGGGAAGTACTCTATGCAGAACTGCACTGAAAAGTGTCTGGAAGTTGCATCTGTTGCAAAATGAAGCAACTAGGCTGTAACCTGTGCAACATACCGATGTTATAGGATGTCTGGACTGAAATAGCTATACTGGTTGCCAAATGCTTAATGCCCCTGCTGCTAAAAATCTATCTCCTCCAAAAGGCTTTGTACGTGGCTTTCAGGTTATAGAATTCACCTCCTCACTTCAGTTCTTAGAGAATCTCTAAAGATGTATCTCTTTTTCCAGGTTTTCAATTCTTTTACTGCCTGCTTTAGTATTAAATTTTGCATGTGTTTTAAACTTTTTATATCCTGTTTTTGCTTTTAAAACATTATTAGACTCTTCGGGTACTCATCAGAGCAGGGGAGTGGATTATAAGCAAAAGGAGCAATCTTTTCCACAACTTTGCTTGGCAAAAGCTAATGGCAAAAATATCGGCACTGTTCATCATATAAGTTCTCATCATCTTTCCCCCACATTTGGAGAAAGGGCTTCCCATGTTGTGTTCAGGACATACTATGTGTTCTTTGCGGAAGCTACTGCCAAACGGGAGGCACATTAGCCAAACCTGTGCTCTTACTTTCCATTGATTATCTGTATACATTGAAACTCCTGAAACATGATGCTGTGCTCCTCTGCTATTGATGCTTCTGTTGTTCTCTATCATTGTCTGCCCTATAGGACAGTAAACTAGGTAGCAATAATATACTACATAGCACACACTAAGCACTCCTGAGTAGGAAGAATGTACAAAAATTGTACTATAGGCTTTCTCTTTTGATTGACATTCAAAGATTTCTGAATGATTTTTGAAAATATTATTTTGCATTTAAAAGACCATAGATTATATGCAAGATTTGTAACTGAAAAAAGTCCTTTTCACTCAAAGCATTCACTCAAGGGTGAAATGTTAATCTGATTCAAAAAGAGACCCTTGGGTAGGGATTGTTGATTTCTCCATATTGTTTTCCAAACCTAAACCATCCTCCAAAGCTGTTACTTGCCTTCTTCAAAGCAAAAGACTGTTCTCTTCCTTATAAAGCATGACAAAACACATCTCTTTTAATCCAAAAGTATGTTTAGTGCTTTCTATAGTCCAATCTTATTTCATAAAACTAAACAAAAAAGACAGTTCATCTCATGCCACAATTACTGCTGCTCTCTGCTGCCTAAGTGTGGCATAACACAAAGGCAAACAAATGTAATAAAGTGGACCACAGAATAATAAATAACATTCTTTGCTGCTTTCATTTGATCCATTGATAATGTCTTTTTCATGTGAAATGTATGTGGCAGTAAAAATTCATTTAGAACACTATAGAGGTAGAAACACATTGGTAATTTTATACATATAGCATAATATGTATTCCATGAAATTGATTATATTTATGTTACAAATAGAGGATATCTCCTTTCATATTTATTTTATATAGCTGCCCATCTCACATATGTGACTCCTGGCAGTGTACAAAGTTAAAAAACACACACAAAAATACAACAAAATAACCCAAAACATAACAAAAACAAAACAATCTGCAGGAGAGTGCACTCAGTTTCCCTAGTAATATAGGCACTTTACAAGCTCCATACCCATGTTCCCAGATCTCCAGGCCAGATGACAAAACTGTGTATTCAGGCCCTTCTAGAAGGCCAACAAGGTTGGAGCCAATCTGACGTAAGGGGAAATGATGTTCCAAAGGACAGGTGCCACGGCAAAAAAGGCTGTCCTCCTGGGTTCCATCAGATGACATTCCTTTGTGGTCAGGACCGCAACATGCCCTTCCTGCTAGACCTGATGGGATGGATTGATGTGATTAGGGGAGGCAGTCCCTCAAATAACACACCCCCATGCCATGTAGGGCTTTATACGTCATTACCAGCACCTTGAACTGAAGCTGGAAACAAACTGGTAACCAATGTAACCTACAGAGCAGAGGTGTAACGTGCACTGATCTAGGTACACATATCACTACCCGTGCTGCTGCATTTTGTACTAGCTGAACCTTCCAGATGTGAGGAAGTGAGGTTCTACAATGAGGAATACCCCATTAAAGTTCAACTGGCAGCATGTGGGTGTAGTATATGGGAGCTCAGGAAAATCTACCTCTCACAATTTTAAAAGTTGGCCTTGTTTTATCTAACAATATCTTATATTTTGCATTATTAAAAAGGGACAAGAAAATATGAACATCATAACATAGTTCCTGCATAAATCTCAGTTACAATTTCCCAAGCACAGTGATCAATATAGGAACCCACACAGATTTTCCTGATGGTATAAAAGCAGGCACATCAGGATAGAAGGGCATCTTCTGTGGGAGCATAAGCTACAACTACTGAAAAATCTCTCTTCCACCCAGTTACTTATGCAGGAGTGCTGCCCAATATTGTATCTAGCAACTATTTTACCCTGGAGCCACCAAAGAACACTAAGTAAATCCAGGTGATAAAACAAGACGCCAGTAGCTTAGACAGCAGAGATAAATACCCACAACACTACATGAACCATACACATACAAGGGTAAATCTACATTTGAATTTTTAATGGTCAAGAAATCTAACAGCTAGTTTTAAAACAAGCAAAAATATATTTATTTTTCCAACATGTTTTATAGGGCCTCCCTGAAACATTTTATTGAGCTGAATACAGTAAAATGCTATTCAATATTCCATGTACAAAACTGACCAAATTGGTTGTTCAATTTTAACTCTGGTTAATGAACAAAATCACCCATTGTACCTTACAGCATCAGGCTATCTTAGTGACCAAACTCAGCCTTGCTCCCTGAACAGCTCATTGCTGCTTCTAATTCTCCTCTAGAATCTTCTGAGAATAATCTACTGATAAAACTGGACTGATAATCTAGTTAATTCTGATCTATTTCTTGGCAACTCCAGCTTTGTGCCACTGGTTGTTTCAGGAAAGCATATCTTCAGTGCATTATATTATTACAAAAATGTATATTTGATTCAA